TTCAAAGTAAAAAAGCTATTTGTTTGCTGGATAAAAAGTAATAGTGTAGTATAACATTCTTGTTAGTTAAAAAATATTGTTTTAATATAATTCTACACATCAGACCAAAAAAGGGACAACTGAGCAAGAAGGAAAGACAGTCCCTCCAACTGAGGCATAGTTGGAATTTATGCTCGTAATATTCCGACTTGATCAGAACAACGATCATTGTATGCATATTACCTTGGCAGTCCTAGGGGGCAGAATGGTTGAAGAGTTGGTTGTCACTGGCTCTGCGTTCTGAGGAGCTTGGAAGAGATTACAAACTATAGAGAGAAAGCAGAAAGGAGCGACTACAGCTGACATATATCACGTCACTTTCTTTCCAGCTTTCCCTTTATAAATGTCTGCCCTCTCTCACTTTTCCATATCCTAACCTTTTACTGCTGACAAGGTAACAGGCAAATGTAATAGCAAGCATAGCTGAAACAGACCCCAGGCAGGCCTTAAACATCACTTTTCAAAAATACACAAAACATCACTTAAAACAAAATCACAACTTGTCATTCACATTTGTGTGTCGGTATTCTCCTTTTCTTCCAGCAGCAGTAGAGTTCTTTTAGATTTCATACAGCAATGAAAGATCTGTCACATCCACACAGCTGTGTTCTCTTACCTCTTATCCATTAAAGCGTCAGCTGAACATCTTAGCTGTTGAATAACTTGGCTAAGTCTGGGAATTTTTTTACGTGATCAGTTCGGCTTCTTCTCATTTCTTCTGGCCACTAGGGAACTTATCCACATCTTACCAGCTGCAAGAAAGTTCTTTTCAGTCTTTTACATCCTTTTACATATTCTCTGACCATAGGAGAGTTCTTAAATAGTGAACCGTATGTGCTTTGACAATAAATGTAGCACTTTTACAATGAACTGTGCTCTGGGAATGTACGATTTACATAGGTATGTGTTCTTTTATACCTTACCCAATGGGTAAGCATGTTCATGTCATTCTTTACATGATAATGTGCTTACATGTTTTACTGAACAGTGAAGAAGCCTTATTTGTTACAGGCATTTACCATTAAATGTACCATCATGTGTGAGCTTTAAAAAATTATATATATAACTGCTTCTGACCTGAAGAACAGAGGTTCACTCTCGAAAGCTTGTCTTTTATATATTTTGTTAGTCCAATAAGAAAGGTATCATTGCACACTGCAATACTGTGTTTTTGTCTTTTTTGACATCTTGTCTACTGGGCTAATACGGCTTACCCATTTATATTGCACTATATATATATATATAACTTTTCTTTATCTTTGCATAGAGTAGGGAATGCTGCAATCCCCTATTTATGGGGTTTTCTGCTGTGTCCCCTTTGGAAGATTTCCCTTCCTTCCTTTTCTCCAATGTCAGGGAAAATCCACTCTTAAGACAAAAAAGGTATTCCCATTGGAAGATCTTCCCACCAATCCTGTTCTGGTGACAACCATAAACTTTTTGGATCTCCCATTACTTTCTGCTCCATGACAATGGATACCAGGACAAAATGAAAGACGGCGAATCTCCATAGGGTGTACACAAACTGTAATAAATATCAGTGGTTCTAAGCCTTCCCCATTCTATTTAAAACTAATAATCATTTAGTCAGTATATATTGCATTTGTATTCTAAATTACTTCCAAAATATACTTTTCTTCTGCAAACAGCATAACAGAAGCACTGCTTGTATAATGACATATCCATCTAGATGAAAGACGAATGGGTAGAGCCTCAGTAAAGTTTTAACTGCTACAGCGTTTCCCAGTTACATAGTATTTGAGTTTGAATAAAGACACAGGTCCATCAAGTTCAACCTTATGTATAAGTGTGTTTGGTGTGCGTGCGTATGTGAGTCCCTGCGTGGTCCTAGGTTTTAAGAGTACCTGTACCCTTGTATCTTATGGTCTCTGAGGAAGGTACCTAATTGATCTTTGAATGATTTAATACTCTCTGGTGTGCGGCCGGACTTCGTTTGTCTTTCATCTAGTTGGAAGAGTGCCCGCTCTACCAGCCAGGAGACTCTTGGTTGGGCCGTGAGGGAGTGGTGTGATTGCTCTGCATTTGTAAGGCCATGTTCTCGCCAATGTGCTTGTAATGCAGTTTCCAGGCATTTACTGTACATGTGCTTGCTCTTAATGCAGTTCCTCTGCATTGACTGTACGTGTGTTTTCTCTTAATGAAGTTCCTATGCATTTACTGCAACGTAATTTGTCTGCTCTTCTCATTTAGGAAAACAATCTCTCAGGAGCATTACTTTTACCATGCTACATACACAATGCAAGCAACATTTATGTTCCAAATTACACATTCATATTCTGACTTGCAGATATGCAGATTTTAGGGTTAATAGGTCCCCATTAGTGTAAACTGTTCCTTGTAATTCATAATGTTAAACACATCTGAATATTAGGCTCACTTCATTTAACAAATTCTGTACCTTAATGTAAATTATATAGCAACTTATGTAAGCTTGTAAACTATGAAGTTGACATCCACAACACCTTAGAATTCTGTGTTATACACAGTGCCTTACGCAGTTAAACAAGTGGCCATATTTGAACTAAATAATATACATTTTAACAATGATATCAATGTATTGTTAGTGTTTAGGCGTAACAAGATTTTTATTTTAAGTGAGTCTAATATTACAAATATGTATGACAGGGAAGTTAGAACTGCTTAATCAAATGAAAACCTCACATTTTCTAGTCCACCAAGACAAGCCCCTACAATAGGAAATACATTTAATATACATATTTCTTCTTTTGAAAGTGTAGAGTTACTACTAAAACTGCTGGAATAACACAATTCCTCTAAAATACAGGAAACTGAATTTAGAGCAGCATAGGTGCTGGGCTACTAAGAGCATTGGTAAGCTGTGTAGCATACATGAGCAGGAATAAAAACACCTGTCATCATATATCCTTCATAGTATTTAAAGCAGATCTCCAGCAAAAAATAAAAATGAATAGCCCAATTAAATATGACAAAAATAAAGCCAGCTTTTGCTGCAGTATTTAGCACCAACCCATCAATTTCCATCACTTTTTTCCTGCCACTAGACATCCTCAGTCTGATGGCCAGCTTCATTCAACCCACTTAATCTGGGCCCAGGTCATTCTGGACTTGCCCCAACCTGTTTCTAGACAATGTAAAAGAGAAGCAGCTCAGTGATTATCTCATCTCTCTGCCTCTCTGCTTTCTCTTCCTATCAGCCTGCTTTTTGTTGGAACATAAACTGATTGGCTCCTTGTGCTGTTACTTCCTCTCACATTTCCAGCTCTGCTCTATAGGGACGTTTATATGTGCATAGAGTTGAGGTTTATTGTATCTCCTCCCTCTGTGTCCTTACTGATAGCCTCTGTTTCTTTGTATACTTTCTCTTTCCTCCAGTTTAAAGCTGGAGGAAAGCTAACTTTTTGACCACATTACCATACTCAGGACATTTTTTCGTTAAAGCCTAACTCCGGGTAAATATTAAAGACTGTTGTAAAATCAACAAAACCATATATTCACTTATAAATAACTAAATGTATTTTTAATGAAACTAGTGTAAGTGCCTGAATATGATATGGCATACGCTTCTTGCAAACTACTATACAGCAACAATCAGACTGGGATAGAGCGGGGCAGGACTAGGAGCAAATTAGTGTGCTGCCTGCAAATGTGCTACAAGCAGCGTACTCACAGAAAGAGAGAGCAAAGAAATTACCTCATCATTCTCCTGCTGTTACATCATTGTCCAGTCTGCAAGCTAAGAGTGGGGAAAGGACACAACTGTATATCTTCTGTAATTGGGAAAGTGGTATCATCTCTGGCTATGCTGTGTGGCAGAGATGTGTAAAGGTCACAACTAGATAGGCAAAAATGTAAACTCTTTGACGGGTACACCATCTACCACATCTGTATTTCATCTGTGCAATTTAGCTTTAAAGCATATTCCACTTTTGCATGTTCTCATTCACATAGCATAACTTAAAAAATATTTAAGAATTGCTGCTTACATATTACTTGCTCTATTCAGAAAGATACGTTTTCTCTATACTAAATTTTCCTCTGGAATGCAAGGGTGATAGGGAGTTAATTTTCAACCTAATTAACCCCGTCTGTATTGTACTGGCAGATGTTATTATTAGTTGTAAACTAAATTTGAACAATGCCTATCCTAGCAAATATTGAACATCTAGAAGCATTACATATTAATGAGAGCATGCTCAGGGTTTCCCTAGTCCTTCTATGGGGACAGCCAGAGTTTCCAGTCACTTTAAAAATAGTAGGGTTTTCTCAAATTTTACTCTAAAGGTGGAAATATGCTTTATGTTCCTAACAATCAGTATTTCTGAAAGGGCAGGTTCCAGATCAAAAACAATTTGACTGCATTATGTAGTTTATTACAATTTTTTTTTTTCTTGACTAGGACTAGGACCATTAAAATTAACCTCAGTTGAATTTATAGCTATACCAACTGTATTCATGAGTCCATTCAATGCTTTGGTTGTGGGTTGTAATAACAACTTTTGACCCACTAGATTAACAAGTAAATCTCAATTTAAATAAATAGATATGAAATAAATTGTAAGGCAAAAAGATGACTGCTGTTGGAGTTTTACAGTTTTTTCTTTAATTTTTTCCATAATATTCATATTTATTTTTTCATAAAAATCACAGGTATTGAAATTAGGAGAAGATACAGAGGTCAAAGTTCAGTTTCAGAGTCAGTTGGCCTCGCATTCCTTCAGCTTTTTCTGTTTTTGACTGGGGATTTTTAATTTCCTTTTCTATTAGTGTATGTGCCCAATCCTTCTTCCCCCCCCCCATATCAACAACTGTATAGTTGGTATGAGACAGGTGGGCTTTCTGCATTCTGGGGGAGTTTTGAGGGTTAAACTCACAAGGTTCAAAGTGCAAAGGTCATTCCCCAAAATACAAAGTCCATGGATCAAAAAGTACAGACTATAGAATTCCTGTTTCCATTGCTTCCCCTCCAGAGTTATACAGCTTGGCCAGTAAGGGCTTAACAGAAAAGGTGGAACAAGAACAGGCTCCGTGCAATCCACTGCCTGCCCCTATTGCCCTATTCTTTCCTTCCCCCCACTGATCAATCAGTATCATATCATCTTCATGTTAAACTTGCGAGGAGCATCTGCAGTGGAGAGTCCAGCATCAGACTTTCGCGGCACATATTCTATCTCAATGTTATGTTTAGTGTTTCCTTTTCCTCTGCTCCAAAGAAAGAGTAAAACCAAGCAAAAAAGGACAACCCCCAAAAAGGATATGAATCCCATAGTGGTGGCAATTATTAGAGTTTTAATATCAAATGGGAAAGGGACACTTGTACGAGTGCTGTTAACATCGCTTTCATTCGGCTGGTTTGAGATGAAGGCAAAGGTCTTGTTAGGTTGGTGAGGCCAGTCAGGTGAGTAACTGCGCACATGAAGATGGGCCAGTGAAGTATCATTACCAGCTGCATTGCTTGCCACACAATGATAAGTCCCATTGTCTTGGATCTGAGCGTAACGTACTTCCAAAGTTCCATCTGGAAATACAGTCAGCCTCCCGCTGCTTTTGCTTGTGATGAAAGTCTTCCGTGGGGACTGCCACAGTATGGTAGGTGGTGGATCTCCATCAGCACGGCAAAAAAAGTGTACTGTATGCCCTTCATCTACATGGACCACTTGGGGACTTCGATCCTGGATGCGTGCTTTTCGGCACGAAAAATAAGTTGGCTGCAGCACATCTGGAAAATCTTTGAACTCCTTCCCCTGAACATATTCTGGACTGGAACATGATGGCTGCTGTCGATTGAAGTTGAGACGCCAGCGTCGCCGGAAGATCCACATTAAACGGCAGTCACAAGCCAGTGGGTTACGATCCAAAATTAACGTTTCTAGATTGCCTACAGAGTGAAAAGAAGATTCTTCCAGTGTACTCAGGAGATTGGAGGAAACATTAAGTACACGTAAATGGTTTAGACCACGAAATGCGTAGGGTTCAACAACAGAAAGCTGGCCACCTACCAGGTGGAACTCCTGAAGTCTCAGCAACTCATGCAACATAGATCCCTCTACAGATGTAATTGGATTGTATGAAAGGTTAAGAAAGCGAAGATAAACAAGGTGCCTGATTGCCACATATGGTATAGCACTCAGATTGCTGTGTGTAATAGTAAGAGATGTTAAATTTAATCCATAGAGGCTATTGGATGTCATTGTGTCCAAATATGGCCAATGGGCCACTTCTAAATATTTCAGCCGAAACAGCCTTTTGAAGGAGAAGTCGCGAATTATGTTAATGTTAAGGTAACGGAGCTGTAGAGAGATCAGACCATGCAGGTGTGACAAAGCCTCTGTGGGCACCACGGTGAGGTTACACTTTTCCAGTGTTAGCTCTTCCAGGCTGTTAAGTCCACGGAAGGCACGATGAGAAATGTACACCAAATCATTATCTCCAACTTCCAGAGCTTTGAGGTTGAAAAGGTCCTGGAACATGTCATCCAGCAATATGACAATTTTATTTTCACTGATGTCAAGTTGTGTAAGGTTACTAAGTCCTGTGAATACACCTAAAGGAATGAGCTTGAGACGATTACTTCGCAGACCCAAAGATCGTAGGTTGAAAAGGCCATTGAAGGCACCAGGTTCAATCAAAGACACTATATTCTCACTGAGCTCCAGCTCCTCCAAGTAGGGAAATGAAGAGAACTCGTCCTGGTTAAGTGCCTTGATCCTATTTTTGCTGAGGTCCAATAGTCGTGTGTCAGTGGGGATGCCTTCAGGGACGTTGAGGTGACGCTTGCGGTGGCACAAAACAGAACGATCCTGAGGAGAGCATTCACAACGTTGGGGACAACCTGAGGCCGAGCCAGACAGGAAGGAACCCAGTACAAGCAACAGGATGGGACACAGGCAAGGTGGCAGCGGGAGAATCATACTGGATCGTGGACTCACCTGAAGAGAAATAAAAACATAAATAAGGTAAGAAATTGATCTGATTTATTGCATTATTCTAACTCTGTTATTTTTTCCGGGTTTACCTATAAAATGAAGATAAATTAGATGTCAGCTTTTGTCTGTTGCTGATCTTTATGTAACAAACCCTAATCATATGGAAGTTAAACACGAAAAATATTTACATAATCTTTTATGCTTTGGCAGTATTAAAAATTTAAAGATATAAAAAGCATCAGCTAATTGTATTAAATTTAACCTGCTCTATAGCTATTCTAATATGTATGAAACATGTGTAACGTAAAGTGGTTTAATGCTGTCTTTTTTATTAATGTTATTAATTTATTAATTAATGCTGCTAACGCAATCATGTGCAGATGCTGCAGACACAATTAAAGGCTTAATCAGTAAGACAAAGTGTCCAAATGAACTCATCTTTTACTGAACAATGGACTGTTTACTGTCTTTACCTATACCTAACGGCACAAAATGATGCTAAACAAGAACATTTCTGTTTCTATAGCTAAGAGGACTGCTAACATCCCAATTAGCTGCCACTGCAGCTACAATATAGTTAATCCAACAATACAACTAACATGTCCACAAAGCTATAACTGCACCAAAGGAACAGTAGTTGAAAGTTTAAAGCTGAACTCCGGCCAAAAACTTTAATTCAAATATATTCATCAATAGCCACAAAGGATATACATCTACTAAATGTCCCCATGTGCACCAAATGTCTTTGCGAACCCGGATATAACCTTGTAAAGTAGTGCTGACGTAAATTGTGGGTACTACATAGCCTATGCAGAGAGCAGAGCTGGGGGGGTGGGCAGGAGGGTCACCCAATACAGGCTGCTTGCAGGGGGTTGATATAAGACCAGTCACACTGCACAAGGAAAGATAACAACACTGACTGGTCTTTATTGCAAGAAGCTCCTGCACAAAGACAATGTTTCATGCTGGATTACATTGTTCAAGTAAGCATACCTATGCTTTTGTATTTAGACAATATGTGGTTATCCTGAAGTTCAGCTAAGGGTAATGTGGAACCACATCCAAATAGTTTCCTTAGTTTTATCCGCCACTCTTTTATAGAGACCCTGCATTAAACTTGCTGTATTTTACACAGTGCAAACATATTCTACAATGCTGTACAGACTAACATGGGGCTCAATTTACTAAAAGTGATTGGATGAATCAAAATTTTTTTTCCATGTATGCCTAAGTAAATAATGTCTCACATGCACTTACCATTTACGTTACCTGAACACTGGCTTAAAATGAATGGCATGAACAATCTTTTTCAAGATGTTCATTGGCTGGTATCAGTGGCATATAATACCATATAGTATATAAACTGGTAAATGATGCAAGCATTAACTAGCATGGTATTGTGCCTGAGTGATAAGACATGGAACACAAGGGAATCGCTTACCCATTTCCCTCTACCTTTTAAAACCATCCTTAGTCAGAATCTACCAACTTCTCAGTGGAGGCTTATGGGAGAACAAAAGAAAGCATGTACCCTCTCTTATATACACAGCTAGGGCTTCTGATGAAGAAAATGCATAGGCAGAGGCTCAACTAAAACCATCCACAGATATGGGCAGCTAAAATGATATGCACATTTTTTGTTTGGCCCTGCTAACTCCATCCCAAAGCTTGCTATTAGTGGAGGCCAGATAGGAGGCACTTAAAGCAAAACTATGGGGTAAGTGTGTTTCCCCATAGTTCTCGTCAGGGTCACGGATGACATAAACTAGTGTCCTCCCGTGACCCAAAGCTCAGTATACCGCGAGCAATAGCTTGCGGTATACTGAGACCACCGCAGCCGGGGCGGATCCCGACATTACTGTCGAGATCCACTCAGCTGCGTGATTGACAGCTGGCTCTGGCTATCCAAAGGCAGAGCCAGCTGCACCGCCCCCTCCCCCGTTCGTTCCTCCAGTCAGCGCTGGAGGATAGGAGCGGGGAGGGGGGAATCCCTGCAGGGAGCCGTGAGTGACAGTAACGGCTCTCTGCAGGGACAGGATCGAGAAGTGAGCGAGCGACGGTATGTGTTCGCTCACTTCCCGATCTACTGAGCCGACGTGTGACAGTTTCATTGTCACACGTCGGCTCGAACTATGATGTTGAGTGAAAATCATTCACCTCATAGTTCTCCTTTTAAGGCTCCCCATTTGACAACTCCCCCTCCAGGGCATGGGGTAGTGGTGTTTCCCAATGTTGAAGGGAATTCTGTACGTTAACATATAAATAAGGCTGTGTGCTCTCTGCCCTTTGCTACTGGTATGCCAGCTCACATTTCTGGTGTGCTGGGTAGGTTAGTTCTAAAAGGGAAAAGGGGGTGACATGCTGATTTTCCTTTTTGTTGGTTACATTTGATATTAAAAAAATACAGTTTACCGGTAATTGCACATGTCCCAGACTATAGACAATAAAGTATTTACATATTATTAACAAGCTACATTGGAGCTTTAAAACAATCTGCCGTTGACCTCTATAGCTGCACCTTAAAGACAAAGGAAGTCAGGCATTAGTTAGTTTCTAACAGCTTACAGCACCTGCTGTTTATTTACATTAGAAGGCTAGCAGACAGCTAACACTCAGCTCTTCATAGAAAAAAGGTGAAAGAAGCTGTGATTTCAGTGCCTCTGTTGTGAAGAATACTTTCTCCACAATGCCTATAGCTACAGAGTTAAATGAGAGCTTGTTTAAAAGTGCTTTTACTGCTTGTTCAGAATATGTAAATGCTTTAGTGTATTTCTTAGCAGATGACCTCTTGGGCCACCTCTGCAATTACCTTGTCTATATGCCTCATCATGTTACAGTACAGCACATGTGGTTCTACTTCCAACATCCATGTATGAAATACTGTGTTAGCTAAATTGTACCTTCTTTAACCTCATATACAACTTGCTGAAACAGAAAATACTGTTTTCACCTTTACTTCATCTTTTTTTGTATCTTAGCACAACTCCTGCATGCTTTTTTGAGTCACTTTGCCTGCACAATGTTTCAGCACAGTCACTTCTATACCTAATAAGGTATTTGAGTGAAGCTAGTCCACTCTCAGCAGCATATGTTAAAGGGTAACAACATAGAAGTACAACTGGGAGACAGTTGTCACCCCATGATAGGAAGTTCCTGAAAAAAGACCTTCATGGCAGGATTACCAAATATTACTTTAATAAAAAATGTAGATTAAAAAAGACTGAAGACACATTTTAAATTGCCATTAACGTTAAAGCGTATTTGAGATTTAAGTGATTGGGTTTAGATCTACTTCATGCTTTTAAATCTTTGCTTGATCAGTTAGACAACCTAACAGAAGTGATAGAATGGCTAAAATGTGGTCACCAGGAGTCTTGAACAAACTACCAACCTTATCTTCCCATTAGAGATATAAACAAAGACACAACCCCCACGTCCTCCGATATTTCATTGCAGACAGGGTAATTAGACGATTAACGATAATTACAGGCAAGGAAATCTAGTCTGGGAAATGGAGGATAAATTAACACATACAGACACAGGAAGCACAGTGTGCTTGTTGGGATCTGCAAGCTGACAAAGCACTCACAGCTCCTTCTTATCAGTGATACTCCCAGAGTAGGCAGTGTAATTTTGCATTTCAGGTACACAACGAATGGCGTTTAATTTAATAACACTGTGAAAGGAGTTATAGTGTGTCCACAGCAACAAATCCAAGTTCAGTTTTCAACAGTACATTAAATAGCTATAAAAGCAACATCTGAAGGGCTACAATAGGTTACAGCACAGCAAATAATCACTCTTTGCAATGTTTTAATTAATCTAGGTGAACATCATTGTTACAGGATACAGATAATATTGTTTTCCTCCTTTTTTTCTCTATAAGGCTCATTTTTATTTTTTTCTGCATGGAATGTGTAAACGGCAGCTGCAGCTGCACCAGCTCCTACACAACATTGCACTGAGGGGAGAGCAGCGACTTGATCAGTAAAGTGCTGCGGTCGCATTACCCGTTCCTTCTCTCTACTTTCCCATTCAGAAAATGCCTTGTATTTTTTCAAAGGCATTCTGTGATTGGAGGAGCAAAGGAGGGAGCAGGAACGTGACATGAATGTTATTATCATCTTCCAAGACAGTAGGAGGAAAGATTTTCTCAGTGCCAGAGCTAGATTCCTAAACCACCAAGCCAGAGATAATCTGGACTTGGATGTTAGGGGAGTCAGATTGTCTAAAGACTGAACTGATTTTTCCCAAAAAGACAGAATGTTGTGTTGTAGAGGTCTGGAGTGGAACTGAGCAAAAGGCACTGCCTCAAAGGAGGCTACCATTAAGTACAGAAGTCTTAATCAGAATCACAGATTTGGATGGCTTCTGGACTGTAGTGTCCAAATTTGGGAGCAGAGAGTCAGACGTATTTCTGAAGGTAAAAACGCATGATGCGCTTGCGGCACCATTACTTGTTAATGGCACCCCAAAGTGGCAGGCAAAACAAGCATCTTTACCCGTGACGTGTGACAAATGCCCAAACATGCATGCTCAAAAAATGCATGAAGCTCACAGTTAGAAATGCTGCATGAGCTTCTTTGCCACTTTTGTAATGCTTAGGGCAGCTCAATGAAATTAATTGGGTGATGCATGGCAAACATGGGAAACTGCACATAAATGTAATGTGATTTACTCAAGTGTGCATAGGGCCTATTGGATTCATGAGACTCTCTGTCAGCCAGTACATTTGCTACGGAAGGCTCATAAGCCACCACAGCTGCAGGAATGACAGAGTAAGATTCCAAAGAGGAAGGCATAGAACTATGCTTACAGCCTCTAGATCCAGAGTCAGCAATCATATTTTCAAGTTAACCTATAAAATTAAGCATAACTTCAGAGAACTTCACTGAATAAGACAGGAGAGGGGCACACCCGGGACAGAGCTATGAGAGACTTAGAGGAGTGAGATGACTTAAGTAGAGTGCATCAGTGCAGGCTATCGGTTCCAGGTCCCCTAG